TTATATGGGGGCTTTACGAAGAGTTGGACCTGCACAGACAATTTTCTGTCTTAGGCTGTAGTATCCATTACGAACTTCAAATACCAAATTTGAAACTATTCTGGTGAATAATGTCGCTAAAATTATCAAAATACCGAATATCGGGAGGTACCGTTATATGGGGGCTATACGAAGACGTGGACCTGCATAGACAATTTTCTGTCATAGGTTGTAGTATCGATTACGAACTTCAAACACCAAATTTGAAACTATTCCGGTGAATAATGTCGCTTTAATCATCAAAATACCGAATGTCAGGGGCTATACCAAAACGTGGACCTACATGGCCAATTTTCAATACCAAAAGTCCTGCAGACATAACATACATTTTAGCAAAATTTTATCAATCTATTTCGATTCGTTCGGAAGCAAGAGTAATTTTCAAAGACGGACAGACAGACGGACGGACGTCGCTAAATCGCCATAGAATTTTATGCTGATCAAGAATATATATACTTTGTGGGGTCTAAAATGTTAATTTCGAGGTTTTACAAACGGAATGACAAACTTAGTATACCCTCCATACTTGGTGGAGGGTATAAGAATAAGGACACTTTCGGATTCGTAGACCAAACCTTTTGAAGTCATTTATATAGCCTCGGCCATATACAAAAGGAACCCAATATTTTGAGATACATTTCGCAACATCTAATAAAGAACTTTGACAATTTATAAAGAGCTTTGAACTACTTCAAAATTGGATGAAGCAATGGCCCATGGAGGTCGGGACTTTTTGCTAAAATTCCTATCACTAACGTAGCCTTTCGAAACCATTTCGGGGAGGCCACCTGCAAAAAATGAGACTTTATAGCAAAATTTCCAAAAAAAGTAAGTAAATAAATAAAAAATGCGATTTCGGAAAGTACCTCCTCTATTTAAGGGTAAAACGGGTTTTAAGTATTTTTCTTGTCATGTCTTCTCTTTAATTTCATCAAATTTTGGAATTTTGAGTTCTTTTCGTGCAGAACCGCTACTAGAAAAAAATACTACGTTTTGCTACAGTCCGCCCATGTTTAAATTTATCTCCCGGTTATTTTGTTATTTTGGTTATTTCAAGGTGTTTGGCTGTATTTTCCAGCTTGTAGTTTGCTTCTTGTTGGGGTAGAACTCCGTCCGCCACAACTAATATTATGTGAATTAGTATTTCAGAATAGCCCTCACAAAAGCGGCAAAATTCCAGTTCAAATTTTTGTCAAACTCTCGGAATAACTAAAATCGGAAGGCATCCTTATAGAAGGACTCTACCAAAACTTGAACCAATATTCATAATTTTTTGGCTCGTATCATATCTACATATTTTCAGATCTTCCTTCTCCACACCACTGTTCTCCATTTTTTTTGACATTGCGGTCTAAATCTTTCATCATTTCTTTAAAATGTGTTTATCTCACTTAAATGTCAGTCCTGCTCAAAAACGAAAGAGGATCTCTTGATATAAGGATTACAAACACACACACACACAGAGACACCGCGAATCGTACAAAATAAACAAACAAACCGAAATGAAAAGATGCCAACACATGTCAATATAACAACTTGACACTTGCCACAATACCAGCGATTATGGTTTTGCGAAATTTCTGGCGATACCCGTAACAAAAGAGGGAGCATATGTTCAAGAGAGGGAGGGAGAGAGAGGGAGGGAGAGAGAGGGAGGAAGGGAGATGACATAGAGGGCCCCATTTTGTTTGTGGCAAACAAGGCTTGTAAACAATGTTCCTGCATGTGAGTGCAAAGTCTCAAAAAGGAGGATGGGGGGTTTCACTGGAGACTTGTGAGATATTGACACCTCTAAACATACGCAGAACACACATTCCCACATACTTGAAATAAACACATCGAGAATATTTTTTCGTCTTGGCCTTCCTTCATTCTTCCGACTAATTCCAGGAATTTCCACACCGTATGGCCCTTGTTTTTCAACCATTCCTCTGAAGCTTAAAACAAATGATTTGATTTGCCTTTTTTAATATTTTATGAATTTATGGATGAATGAGGGAGCATAAGGATATCGAAGGATTTTTTTTTTTGTATTCGGTTCGGTATCAAAACGATGGCATAAATAAGTAAACAAAGGAGCTCACAATCCATTGATATGACAAGGCATTGTCTTGGCATTGTTGACATTGTACTTGGTGTCCTCCCCCACCCCCCGCCAAGTAAAACGTTTCCTCCAGGAAAGAACGTACAACAACAAAAATACACTGAATCAAATTTCCTTTCCTTTCACCGTTTATGTCGAAGAACAAAATAAACAAATAAATAACAAAAAAAAAATCGAAAAAACGAAAACATCGCAAAACAGATTTCACAGCGCTTTGACAGCGCAAAACATACCTTGTCAATCGTCGTCAATCAATATTAAATTACTTACTTTGGTATTTATTGCGATTACTCTATTGTTTATTTGTTTGTTTGATAGGTTGTTGCTGCTGTTGTTGTTGTTGGTTTTTTTTATTATTTTATCGTTATAATCAAATGAAAACAGAATCGGAAGCCCAAGAATGAAGTATTGCGTAGCAGCAGCAGCAGCAACAAGGAAAACAATTGAATCACATTCAACAAAGTGTATTTTTGGTTTCACATTACACATCGCGCAGAATAGAGGAGGACACAGCGGACAAAAAATTACGTCAGCTGATTTGATTGCTATTATTGGATTTCCTTGAAATAGCTAGAAGTGTTTAATAATTTAGCAGGAGTGGTAAATTGAATAAAAATGATTGACAGAAAATCGAATGGAAGAATTGATTTTGAGCAAAAACGGGGAAAAAACAATTGATTTAGTTGAAATAATAGGTTAATGGACATGAATGGTGCATACTTTTAGGGGCTAAATATAATTTTTATTTAAAATTAAAAGATATTGTGTTTTCAAAAACCGAGGAATTGTTTTTAAACACAAAAAAAAAAAAAAAAAAAAAACAGCAATTGATTTTGATGAGATAATAGGTTAATGGACGTCAATGGTGCATAATTTTAGGCGTTAAATACAATTTTTATTTAAAATTAATAGATGCTGTGTTTTCAAAAACCGAGGAATTGTTTTTAAACAAAAACAAAAAAAAAAAAACAGCAATTTATTTTGATGAGATAATAGATTAATAGACATGAATGGTGCATACTTTTAGGGGTTAAATATAAATTTTGGATTAAAATTAATAGATGCTGTTTTTTCAAAAACCGAGGAATTGTTTTTAAACAAAAAAAAAGAAAAACAGCAACTGATTTAGATGAAATAATAAGTTAATAGGCATGAATGGTGCATACTTTCAGGGGCTAAATATTTTTTTTATTTAAAATTAATAGATGCTGTGCTTTTGCAAACCGAGGAATTCTTTTTAAACAAAAAAGCAGAAAAACAGCTGCCTTAAATGAAATAATGTGTTAACTGCCAAGGATGGTGCATACTTTTGGGGGTCAAATATATATATTTTGGTTAAAATTAATAAATGCTGTGATATTAGAAACCAAAACTTGGTTTTATAATCTTCCTAAATAAAATGTCCTAAAACATGTTAAAGTATGGTGCATATTATTAGGAGCAAGATGGGGTTTAATTATTTAGAAGGAGCTGTAAACTGAATTAAAATGAATGACAGAAAATGGAATGTAGGGAGTAAAAAACAATTGATTTAGTTGAAATAATTACCACATGTTTTAATGACTGGTGCATACTTTTAGGGGGCAAATATAATTTCTGTTTAAAATTGGAAAATTGTGTTCTTTGTATCTTTTATACTAAAATGTTCATGTTTAAAAATGGTGCATGCTGTTAGGAGCGAGAAATGTTTAATAATTTAGGAGTCGTGAATTAAATTAAAATGAATGACACCAAATGGAATGAAAGATTTTTTTTGTAAATAATAGTAAAACAATTGATTTAGTTGAGATACTGCGTTAATTGCCTTGAATAGTGTATACTTTTAGGAGCCAAATTAATTTATTTAAATTTGCATCCTTTTTTGCTATTAAACAAGTTAAAAAGTATCAGACGGCTATGCCGACCCTCTGCCAATGTTCATTGATTTGCGCTATGATTATTTAAAAAGTTGACCTCCTAGGGGCGAGGTTTCGATATTGTCCACCTTGTTCCCAATCGATTTGGGATATGAGAAACGTAGAAAAGCGTGATGTACCAAGTATGGTGGAGTATTCTACTTAATCTTATACTGATTAGAAATAGCCCGAACATTTATTTAGAATTTTATGCGAAAAAATGTTATTAAAAATTGTAAATTTTTGTGGGGGCGGTCCGGTCGATAAATCTCTGGTAAAGATAAATATTTAGTTGTACCAATTTTGAAAGAATCACTGACATGTTTTGCAATATATGAGAGATAAATATTGAAAATTATGACCATTTGGGAGAGTGGTGCCACGAGGGTGGGGTCGATAGGGATTATTTCCATATCAGATTCTAAGAAAAAAGAAAAATGGGAACGGTTGATATATTCCACCTTCATTGCAAATCTTGTGTTAGTTAGGATGGGTGAAATTTGAAGAGAATTGAAAATGAGAATGAGTTTCATGATTATTTGACATTTTGACCCATTGTGGGGGGAAGTACCTGAAGGAATGGACCGATATATTCCATCTTTACAGCAGATCTTGTGTTAGTAAAAATAATGGTGTGTGTGAAATATGAGGAGAACCGGATGTTTATTTCGGATTTTTTGGCCCTTTGTGGGAGAGGTACCAGAAGGAAGGGTTCGATATCTACCATCTTTATAACAGATCTTGTGTTTATGGAAATATCATGATGAGTGTAGTTTGAAGACAATCGAACACTTACATCAAATTTTATAAGAGTTATAATTATTCCAAATTTGACCCCTTTGTAGGAGAGATACTTGATGGAGTGGGCCGATATTGTCCATTTTCTCACATGACCTAGCACTGATGCAAATATTAGGATTTGAAAAGTTGAAGCAAAATTGGACGATAAAAAGTAAACTTACCAGACATTTTGGCAATTATTCCTCCGAAACCTTGAAACTATATTTAATAGGAAACGTAGCCCTCAAAAGTTGTTAGAAAATATTTTCTCAGATCTTCAATCGTGGATTTTTAAGAATAAGTTTTCAAGGATTGACTTGAAATTGGATATTAAAGCCAAAAATATGGATTGACGAGGACTATAATTTGAAGAAATTCGGGCAAGAATATCAATTAATGGTGCACACTTTTAGGATCCAGTGGAAATGTATTGACTGCTTTGATTATTAGTTAAATGAAAATTGATTTGGCCAAAATTCCTTACAACAATGCACCACGGTAAGGTTTTAAGAATACCATTTTAAAAATGGTGCCTACTTTTAGGGGTCAACTTTTAAGCGAACAATTGATTTACCAATATTTGCACTGGCAGTTTGGAACATTTTTTTTAAGGCTGACTGACTGGACTGTGTAAAAAATATATTCATGGTCATCAAGGTGAATTAACTGGATTCCTTCTCAATAAAATTATAATGGATGTGAAATTCCAAATACACTGGCCCTCAATTTTTGTTCCGTGAAAATGTGAAATGAAAAATTTTATAAAAAAAAGAAAAAAGTGCAAATTTTTTAAAAGATATATTTTTTTCATATTTTCATAGACAAGAATCCACTCCCTGGTGAATATAAATTTAAGTTATATATATATATATATATATATATATATATATATATTATATATATATATATAATAGATATATATATATATATATATATGTATATATATATATATATGTATATATATATATATATATATTTATATATATATATATATATATATATAAATATATATATATATATATATATATATATATATATATATATATATATATATATATATATATATATATATATATATATATATATATATAATATATATATATATATATACATATATATATATATATATATATAATATATATATATATATAATATATATATATATATATATATATATATATATATATGTGCTGCATATTTTTAGGAGTATTGAAATAATGTGTACCCACACAAATATTCCACAATAAACAGTTGTTCATATTGTATATCAATTCTGCATTAAATTCTTGAAATTTCTGTTTAAAAACAACATTTGTTGCATACTTTCAGGAGTCCGAAACAATTGAACAGGTGTTCTCTCAATTATTCTACCATGAACTAATTCCAAGCTTCTTGTTCAAAAAAAAAATCGCTGAAAAAAACTTAGTTAATTAAATTTACCATAAAATTCCCGCAATTATTTATATAATTTTTAATTATAAAAATTTGTTATAAGTTTTTTTTACTTGCCCAAAAGTCGTTCGCACAAAAACATGAAAACTAAATTCATTTCGTATTAAAGGTAAATTGAATTCCACATACCTGAAAATAGAACAAAAAAGAAAGAAAAAAAACAACAATTAAAATGATTTAAAAACAAAATTTTAATTTCAGCTTTTTATTTTTTTTTTTCTTTTTTGCCACAATTTCACTTAGCTATGTGAAGCGTGCAAGAACGGAGAGAGAGCGAGAAATTCATTTAAAATATACATTTTTTTCATTTATTCCGTACAGAGCACACAAAGTTAGAGTTGAAAAAAAAACAAAGTTTCGTAGTCTTGTTGCCACTGATGTTACACTTGTTTTCATATCCTTTATTTTCGTGTGTGTTTGTGTGTATATATGTGTGTGTGTATATATATGTGTGTGTGTCCTTACCACAGGGAATAGCATTTGCAATGGCTTTTGAGCCCAGGTTTTGGTTCGATGACGCTATGTAGGTTAACGCAAAACAAAACCGGTAGTATTATGGCCGAATGCCATTGTTTTGGTGTAATTGTAAAGGTGTGTGTGTGTGTTTTTTTTTTTTTTTTGGTGGCAAAATGGAGGGTTTAGCGAGGGAGGAAGAGGGGCCAGAGACAATCAGAGGATTTGGTGTAAACACGAAATATATATAATGAGGAGGATAGAAGGAAATATAGGCAAGATTTTTGATTAGGGAATTTCTTATAAAGGATGAAGATAGTCTCAACTTTTTTCAAGGGCCTACAGAGCAAAACGTTAATGGTTTCTAAAGGACGGAACAATAGGCCAGGATTTCAAAAGTTTTTTTTTTTTTTTGTTTTTGAAAGGATCAATGGAGTAACAAACCTAGATTTTCAAATTAACTCTCTTCAGATTTCGTTTTAAGGACATTCGAAACAACACCGGTGGACCATTTTAAGATTTTTTTTCTAAAGGAACTACGAACTTATACATATGGAAATTTTAACGATTTTTTCAAGGATATTTGGAACTTAAAATATTTATTTTTTGAAAATGAAAATTTTAAACGTAATTTTCTAAGAATTATTGAAAAAATAGCGTGAATCGTTTAAAGAAATTTCCTCAAGGACTTTAGGAGTACTAAACTTGGAATTATAAAAAATTTTAGGAACATTGCTTCAGCACATTCGAAGAAAGGACGTAGGGTTTGTTTTCTTAACATTTTTTGAGGATATTTTGAGAATACCCTTTAAGAAAAGATCGATTTTTAAAAATATTCTTCCAATTAGCTTTACACCAAATTTTTAAGAATATTTTTTTAAGGACTACATACTAATTATCGTTTTAGAATAGATTTTCAAGGACCTACAGAGCAATTAACGTGATTTTTTTTTTAAATATATTTGAAGGACATACAGAGCAATATACGTGTCTATTTTCCGTATATCCTCTAAGTAACTTCAGACTATAAAACTAATTTGAAAACTTGGAAATTTTAAATATATTCCCAAATTGCTATAGATTATGAAGCGTGAATTCTTTAAGAATATTATTTCAAGGACCTGTAGAGCAATAAACGTAGATTTTTTTTTTAAATATTTGTCGAGAACCTATTGATTAAAAAATGTAGAGTCTTAAAAAATATTTCAGTACATTCAAAGTGGATTTAAAAATATATATTTTTAAAGGACCTACAGAGCATTGAAAGTGGATTTTTGGGAAAACACTGTTTTTACTGTTATTTTGTCAAGGATAAAAGTGATTTTTTTTAAGAAGTACAAGACAGGATTTTTAAAAACATTTTCTTGAGGGAAATCTGGGACTCATAAGACCGATAAATGTTTTTTCTTTTCAACGACCAAATGTGAATTTCAATAAAATATTTTTAAGGGCAAATTTGCTTTCTAGGACCAAACGAGGACATTTCAAGGATACTTTCCAAGAATCACGCGTGGATCTTTAAGAATATTTTAAAGTGTCAAAAGTGAAATATTTAAGAAACGGGCTTTCAAGGATTTTTGTATACCAATTTCTAAGGATCAAACGTTAATTTTGTATTTGTAATACTGAAGATTATTTTTCATAGACTCAGCTTGGATTTTTAAGATAATTTTTCCAAACTGATTTTTTTATATTCTTGAAGGACCTTTTTAATATATGTTCTAAGGACTAAACGTGGATTCTTTAATAATATTTTTTTTTTTTGAATATTTTCAAAAATTAAATATGGATTTCTTAAGGACGAAATGTGTATTTTTAAGTGCTTGAAGGTTTAAAATCAAATTTCTTTAGAATAAATTTCCAGGACAAAACCAGGATATTTTAAAAATATTTGAATTTTTTTTTTTTAATAATATTTTTCAAGGGGTCATCATCATTAGGAAAATTTCCTCAAGATTGACTTTTTGATTCCTTTTTTGAAGGACTATAAAAGTAAAAAATTAAATTTTAGAGGACATTTCAAGGTACTCTCCAAGAATCACGCGTGAATCTTTAAGAATATTTTAAAGTGTCAAAAGTGAAATATATAAGAAACGGGATCCAAAGTGGATTTTTGTACACTAAATTCTAAGGATCAAAAGTAAATTTTAAGAATATTTTTCAAAAACCAAATTTGGAATATTTGAGATTATTTTTCATAGATCCAGCGTGGATTTTTTAAGATTGCTTTTCCAAAGTGATATTTTTTATATTTTTGAAGGACCTTTTTAAAATATGTTCCAAGGACTAAACGTGGATTCTTTAATAATAATTTTTCAGGGTAAAATATTGTTTTTTTGAGTATTTTCAAGTATTAAATATGGATTTCTTAAGGACGAAATGTGTATTTTAAAGAGTAGTTTTCAAAAATATTTTTAAGTGCAAATCCTTGAAGTTTTAAGATAAATTTCCAGGACAAAACCAGGATATTTTAAAAATATTTTGAAATTTTTCTTAAAAATATTTTTCAAAGGATCGTCATCATTTCAAAGGATTATAATCATTTTGGTTAAGGACACACTTGAATTTTTAGGAATATGTCCTCAAGACGTAAGATTGACTTTTTGAGTACATTTTTTGAAGGAAAGTGAAAAATAAAATTTTAGAGGATATTTTTTTCACAAATTTCAAACAAAAATTTTTGAGGTACTGTTAAATGTTGTTAAAGGACTAAAAGATCATCTTATCGTAAATATTTATTGAATTATATTGAGGTCCACTATTGTTCCAATTTGTAGTGAAATATGTTTTCTTTTGGTATTCTAGGAGTCCGAAGTAGATTTTTTAAGAATATTTTTTTTTTTTCAAGAAACTTCTGGATACAAATTGTGGATTTTAAGAGAATATTTTATTGGTCCTTTTTAGGAAAGTTGCGTAAAATTTTCAAGGACTCTCTAAGTAGCGGATTTTTTAGAATTATTGAAGAGAACAAATTGATTGTTTTTAAAGGACGATTAGAGTGTTAATGCGACAAATTAAAAAAAATAAGGACTAAAAAATCAAGTAATTTTTAGTCCAATTTTATTTTCAAAAATATTTTATATATTATGAAAATATTGTATAAATGAAAAAAATTCGGATTTTTAGAATTGTTTTGTATTAAGGAATAAAGGAGCTTTAATGGTATTTTTTGAATTTTTTTAAGAAAGGAGTTTTAAAGCTTTTTTGATACGAGAGGTACAAATTCATTGTCAAATTTGGTGAAAATCTGTTCGGAGATGGATATACCTTTCATATATGAATTC